TAGAGACAATGCCTTTAAAATCCAATTTTTGAAGGCAGATTAGTGTCATCTGGTCGGAGTAAAAAAAAGAAAAACATCTGCAATTCCATGGTTTAGCCACTAGATTCCTATATAGCTCTATATAAAAAGGTTTATAAATTCTCTAGTTGTTTTTAAGCATAAATACTTATTTTTTCCCTGATAGCACACGCACATCACGGAGACGTCTGCTTTTACATCTGCAAGACGCATTTTTTAGAGTGTTTGCTTATCTGCAATACGTCTATAGGACGTTTCCTATCAGATGTCAAATAGACGTTTAGAAGATGTCTTTAATATGTTTATGATTTAGAATGTATGTAAAACTGACATCTCAAAGACGTCTACCATATGTTTGTACACAGCAGATGCTTTCCAGATGAAGCAATTTTTAAGCTTGCAGATGTACCTGTGCTATCTGGGTTATTAAGTTGTGGATTTGGATATATATTTAGACATTCTCAAAGACAATTTTTTGTAAAGGTTTAGATTTTTTTTTGGTATGAAATGTCAGTTTTTGCATTCATTTTACTACAGTCAAACCTGAAAACAGAGAAAGACATTTTGTTACACATGACATCAAAATTCAACAAAAATGTCACAAAAATGAACAGGAATTCTTTATTAGAAGTTAATCAATCTGATTTCAACCTCTTATTTGAGTCTTCTGGCTCATATTCACAAACTGAATTCACAAATTGAGTCTTCTGGCTCAAATCACATTTTGCCATTTTGTTACAGCCACACCAGTTTATTTGTGTGTGTATAATAGTGTGTTGTGTGTTTGAGCGGGTGTGTCTGTTTTGTACTCCTGATGTTTTAGAGCAGGGGTCTCCAAACTCGGTCCTGGAGGGCCACTGACCTGCAGAGTTTAGCTCCAACCCTAATTAAACACACCTGAACCAGCTAATTAAGGTCTTACTAGGTATACTAGAAACATCCAGGCAGGTGTGTTGAGGCAAGTTGGAGCTAACCTCTGCAGGACACTGGCCCTCCAGGAGTTTGGAGACCCCTCTTTTAGAGTGTAACCCCCTTCCTTGGTGTCTGTTTTTACTTCATTGTGGTTGAATTATTGATTTTATTTCACGCATTTGCAAAAACATGCTTTGTGTTACAGTCACACTAGTTCATATATGTGTGTCTGTGAGGGGTGGGTGCAATGTGTCTATTTTTGCGCATTGATGGAGCGTTGCTATTTTGAGGCAACTGAAAACGATTGCACCATTGACCAACTAAAACCTGGTCTAAAGTCAATGATGCAGTATTCTTTTTTTCTCATTTATTTAAAGGGAGCATTATATATGTCTATAGGCGGGTGCACAAAGCACGCACACACCTATTACACACACAGGGACGTGTAGCAGCACACAAACCAAACACCACACATGCCAAATATTAAAAATGAAAGGATTACAATGTAAAAGATTATTATTGTGCCCCGTAGATGGTCTGCTTGCGTGCATTAACCTGTAACAAAAGTTTTTTTGTTGGTATTTGATTTTTTGTGTGTGTAGTTAGACCAACCTATGAACACTATCCAATAGATTATTGCAAGACTGATTCCCCCTCATCCTCATAAAATAATACCAGTTTAAATAGCTGGAACGGTTAAAAACCTCATGCACGAGCAGATCCATTTCCTCTCTGGAGAAGCGTTCAGTCTTTACTCTTGCAAATTCCGCCATGTAAATAGTGAATCCGCCATGGTGCATGCACAACTGGCTTTTAAAGGGAATGGGAGATGAGACCGATTGGTTCATTGCACGTTACGCCCAAAGCACACCCATGACTCATTAAGAGAATAGGTACAACCCTTTTAGACCATGAGCCTGGCGCGCCGACCATTTTTTCCGTCTTTAAACTAGCAAAAGTGGATTCGGACATGCCCTAAGTGCACCTGCGCTTCAGACCATGCGCTTAGATCGTTAAAATAGGGCCCTTGATATTTTAGAGGTTGAATCTAAACTCTGCAGGGCTCCGGCCCTCCAGGAATTGAGTTTGACACTCCTGTTTTAGAGTTTCACCCCTTCATTGCTGTGCACTTTTTTCTGCATTGTGAATGATTTGTAGAATGTACACACAAAAAATGCACTGTATTTTCATGTTTTTGCAAGTGTGACAACGTTTTTAACGACCATTTAGCCTTTTCGAATCAAGTCCATAATTTTTTTTGTGATCACAGAGTGACTGCCATAAAAGTAATAGAATTTCGTACCATTCTGATAAAGTACAACCCTCTACATTGCGAGTAAATCACTCGCATATGCGACTAAATATTCACTCTGGGCGACTAAATTAGTCTAATATCCAAGCGATTAGTCAACAGAAGAGACAGACGGCTGCACGTGAGTGTTCTGCGTAATACTTGTTTATAGATCTGCTGTTGGAATTATTACTTGCTGCTAGGAAGGAATATTTAGTTTTCTGCCTATTTCTACGTTATATTTTTGTTTGCGTTTGTATTTTTGATTGCACTTTCTGGTAATTATAATAATTGCCCTCGGCAAAGAAAGAGCGCGTGTAATTTAATTGCTCCCTTCCTGCGTTTAAGTGCAA